TGTTGAAAATATTTTCTGGGCCTTGGAGGAGGGAATCTTCTTTTTCCTCTATTCCTATTATATTATTCTTAGGTTTTGTTTTTTCATGTTGTTTTGGATTTCTTGTAATTTTTTAGATTTAACATTTTCTTTGACAGATTCACCTGTTTCTTCACTGTATTTTTCACATCTGAGATTCTTTCTTCCATCTCTTGTTGTCTGTTAGTTATGCTTACCTCTGTAGTTCCTGTTTTCTCCCCTAAGCTCTTCCTCTACATGATTTCCTCCCTTTGTGTTTTCTTTAATTTTTCCAATGCTACCTTCAGATCTTGAGCCATTTTGTTGATTTCCTTCATCTGTCTGACTGTATTTTCTTTTTTATCCTTCAATTCCTTCAACTGTTTGTTTGAACATTCCTCTGTTTCTTTTTTTTTTTTCTTTCAGTGATTTAATCATTTTCTCTCTGAAGGCCACAAACTGTCTTTATCTTCCTGTATTTCTTTATGGATGGCCATAATTTGACTTTATCTTCCTCTATTTCTTTGCCCATTTTATTTGTTTCCTCCATTATCCTTTTCATAATCATTGAAGTTCACTTATGTTAGGGTGTCCAGGGTTGCTTGCCCCTGGATAACTGGGTTCTGGAAATGCCATATTGCTCTGTCTTTTGTTGGTTGAGCTTTTACGCTGGCCTCTACCCATTGGGCTATCTTAGGTGTTGGCTGTTAGTTTCTGGTGCTTCCTGGAATCCTAGGGTAGGGAGAATCCCCTTGGCAGGAAGATGATTTTTCCTGAAGGAGGCCTCCTCAGCCTTTTGTGTGGTCATCAAATGGCCTGTGTTTCTCAGGAATTGCCACAGCTCACCACAATCGTATAGACCTTAGTGGTAACTGTGGCCTTTATTAGTCAGGGGGTGTCTCCTCTCACTCAGAGAAATCCTGGAGACAGCTGCCTGGCTGCTGCATTTCTTGCTCTGAATTTAGTGAGGTGCTGCTGCTGTTCTTACACTGTTTTCTAGGCATAGCCCTCTTGAGCCCCACGGTTTGGTCAGTTTAGTTAGGGATAACTGGTTGCACCTTGGAACAGTATCTGGGGGTTGACTTTGGAGATCCTAGCCTTCTGTAGGCCTGAGGTTGGAGCTCTGTGTCCCAGTACTCAAGCGGTAATCAGTGGCAGGTGAGCACAGCTTTCTTACATGGAGCAGGAGGCTAGAGCCTGGAGCCTGCGGGAACCCAGAAACCTTTCCCGAACTGGGTGTCCTGAGGTTGGACTTGATGCTTCTCCCCACTGTGGGATTTTCTTCCGACAGGGAGATCCAGTCTGTGGTGTGTTGGGGTCCATAGTCCTGTCTGGGGTTGTGCATAGAGAACACAGGCGCAGGCGATTCGTGGCTCCAAGCTGGCAACTGGGAGCCTGCAGAAACCCCGGAATTTTCCTGAGAACTTTTCCGTGTTTGTGGGGAGTTTGCTGAGTGCCGTGAGGTCAGGCCTGATTTTTCCCTCACTGTGGGGTTTCCTCCCAACAGGGAAACCCAGTCTCTGGTGCCTTGGGTGCCCTGGTTCTGTCTGGGATGGTGAGTCCGGTGCACAGCAGGTCTCTGCGATGTTGGCTGAGCACCCCACTCTGGGCTGGGGGCTGAGCACCCGCCGGACCTGGGTCCTTTACTAGCGATTGTCTGGGTGACCTGAGATCAGTCCCGATTGCTTCCTTCACCGTGGGGTTTTCTCTCAAGTGGAAATCACAGTCTCTGGTGTTTTGGTGCCCACAGTTCAGCCTGGGAAGGTGATCAGGACACGCAGGAGTGTGGCTCTGGGCTGGTGACAGAATGCATGCTGGGATCTGGAAAATCTTCTGGGTTTTAGCTGGGTGACCTGAACCCAGCTGATTCCCACACTGTGGGGTTTCCTCTCGCCTGGGAAACACAAGCGCTGGTGTTTTAGGGCCCAGAGTTGGGTCTGTTGGTTGCTGTGCTGTCACTGCTGTCCTGCTCTTCAGACACAGTGTCCTCCTGGCGCTGCCATCTTGGATCTCCACTTTGCTACTCTTGACCCATTTCTACTTCCTATAAATTTGATATCACTTTGCCAGTGTTTTGAAAAATAAAACCTGGAATTGTGACTGAGATTGAAGTGATCACCATAGTGAATGTATATGAGCAGGTCGCTGAAAGATGAAACATTTTTCATCAGAAACAGAGGGTATTTGGAAATAGCTACACAGTGGGGCAGTGAGTGTAGGGGCCACAGAGAAAAGTTTAGGGAGTAAAAGTGGACAGGCATATTAAAACATGAAATATTATTGTCAATTCAAGGATTTTAAGTCATTAAAACCCTTAACTTTACCATGTCTTTGACACAAGGGTTAACCATAACTGATTAAAAGCCCCTAACATTTCCATTTGGCTGATGTTAGGGTTAATCATAATTACGTGCTGATTCTATCTAAACCTTACTCAATTTGCAAATTTCCCATATGCAAATTACAAATGACAAAAGAGAAGCTACTCAAGCACCGCTTTGAGATTGCTTGAAAGGTCTGTACACCAGCTATGCCTTAAGGCTCCCAGAAGGCCCTTCTTCAGGCTGACTTGAGCTCCATACTCTCTCAGGAGCAGTTGCTCAGCAATGATACAAACCTTCATTAAGGTTTATTAAGATCCTTTATTAAGGCTGAAGCTGAGTCCAGTCATCAGTGTCTCTCTTGTTCTTTTGATGAACTGGTAGAACCAGTTGGGATGTTCCAGAGTCGGCAAAGCTGAATTTGGTCGGTGCAGTTTCCTACCAAGTTTTGGCTACTTTGTGAACTGATTTCCCGAACCTTATTGGGTTGCTGAATATTCCTAAAATAGTAGCAGTTAGCACAGTGTCTGGTACTTAGTAGACTCATTAATTATTTATTGAATGCATTTTAATAGGGGCCTTCGTAAATAATGAGCAGAATATTTGGGATCAGGCACAAGTGTGTGTGTGTGTGTGTGCGCGCGTGTGTGTATGCCTTCAAATTTGAAGTTGCCTGTCCAGACATTTCACGTTTATTCTAGTTTATGCCTAGCATAATGATATTCTTTAATCTTTTTTATTTGAATTTGGCACACAAAATAATACAACCTCAAAAAGGAGCTTCCTATAGGGAATGGCTTGTCAGGACTCATCACTGTTGATCTGTGGTAAATAACAAATAACGAGTGCTTTAACTGACGTCTTCATTAGGCTACATAAACAAGCGGTGCCTGACCTTTCCTGTGCATCCATCCGAATCACCTGGGATGATTAAAAACTCTGATGTCAGGTCTCACTACAGAGAGGCTGAGTCTTTCTGGGTCAGGGCTGGGGCACAGAGAGCTTTCTAAGGTCCCTCGAAAGAGTGATTTTTTTTTTTTAAGGTACAAAGCTGAGGTTCTGAACATTTTTTTTTTCTTCCACAACATCCCTGTTGTCATTTAAGGATAAAGAGCCTTTCTTGGGTTGTTCCCCTGCCTCATGGGCCATAATTCCCTTGACTTTGCTATTGAAATTCCATCCTCTAGTGCTGGTTTGAACATCTGCTTTCAGTCTAGTTTTGTTTTCTGGTTGATTTCAGTGTCTTTATGCTTGGTTTCCATGCAGAATGTCGGAGGGATACTGAAGAAGTTTACATCCTGTTGAAAACACAGTTTCTGATACCTTTAAGTATACGAGTTCATGGTTACAAGAAAAATATAAGGAAGTAAGCTGTCAGTTTTCTCATAAACATCGTGTGCTATTTTTATTAGGGAAACTGTCATTGAGAAACCAGAGGTTGTTTCACTGGAAAGACAAACTGTAATGACTAGGGAGAGGCAGAGTGCTATAAATTAAAGACCTCAGCCACTCACTCTACATAGCTTACCACTTCGTTGTCAGCTACTTCTACTGTTCAAGAGCCAGGTAAGTTCTTCCTCAGACCCAGCTCAGAGTCCCATGTTTTGAGACTGTGGCTGGTTTTATATTTGAAATAAATATATTTTATTGTGCATAGACAGTTCTTGAGGGTGATTTTATTTATTTCATTGCCCAAATGGCCATGCAGTTTATCTTTTACATCTTGCTTGATAGTGAGTTAAATACTTTTATATCAGAATAAGGTCTCCCTATAAAGAAACTCATGTGGAACCTCTAATAGCAAATGCAGCATGGTGGGATTTCATAGCAGGGATGAGAATTAAAGTGTGAGGGCTGCTGGAAGCTTTAGTCATCTTATTTTGTTTATTTTTAAAGAGTTCATGAAATAAGTGCTGAATAAAACAAAGCATATTTATGCTCTACTTGTTTATTTTGTTGAGTATCAATGGAGCTTTGAAAATTATTTTTTGTGATTTAATAATAGTAATATTAGCTCATTAAATAAATCTACAAAATGCAAAAAGTATAAGAAATTAAAAAAAACCTCTTAACCTAATAATTTATGACTAGGAATACTCCACTGCCTTTTAGGAGAAAATTCAGCCCACAGTAAACTTTTTGTGGGGTTAGGAATCAGGAATTAGGGAATTTAATATATTCTGCTACTCTGGACTAGATTTGGACCTACTGAGAAGTGAAAAGTGTCAGAAAAGGATACAACTGTTGTCATTATAGTGAATCTGGATCGGAGAACACTGCCTGAATATGAGGCTGGTGGGATTCCCATGCTTTCAGAATCCTGCCTTACCACAAGCTGGGCAGCTACATAAGCTGTACTTTGGCAGGTCAGAGGGTGGATTTGTTCATGATTGGAATCAGATTCTGATGACGAATAAGCAAGAGGAGAAAACCATTAAGGCATTGTCAAACCTCCCGGGGAAACAAGAACTGAAAACTACTGGATGGATCTAGTTTATGCTTCTCATGCTGACTTACATCTTCTGTCGTAGGCGCAGGGGCAGGGAGAAGGCAGCAGTTCTGAGAAGGTCAAAAATCTCCGTGGTCTGGATAAAGGAAGAAAAGTGCAAGCAGAGCAGAAGGCAGCCTACTCTTGATGTTGTGTTGATTGTTGTTGATATTCTAGATTACTTGGAAACCATCATGGACTCTCTAGCCATAGCAACACCACAATTTGTGCTTTGTCTTTTCAAAGAGCTGGATAAAACAAATAATGGCAACATCTTCTTTTCCCCTCTGGGCATCTCAACTGCCATTGGCATGATCCTCCTAGGGACCCGAGGAGCCACATCCTCTGAGTTACAGAAGGTGGGGAGCTTCCTTTGTTTTTCAGATGGAGACTTGGGTTTGGACTTTAAGCCTCTAGCATTGCCTTGAAAATGTGTTCTCCTTGACCTGCTGACAAAAATGTGAGGCAATTTCAGGTCTGTTAAGGAAGACCTCTTCCCTCTCCAGACATCACAGTACCATTTTTTCCCTTGATGCTTGGAGTTTCTTTCAGTGGGGGTACAATGAGTAGCCTTGTCCAAAGCTATTATTCTCATAGTTAAAAAGAATACGAAAGCCCAGAGCTTCTGTGAACAGCTATGAAATTTTTGTTTGGTCTAAATGACATATCAAAGATGAAGACCTAAGTGAATCCTTTACTAGGATCCTCTGAAGAGATCAACGGGAAATCTAGACATTTCCCTGCTTTTTCAAGGAGATGATATTGCCTGTATACCACTGAAAACACTTTAATATCAGCTTTCCCTCGGCTATGTGAAATTTCTCTCTATTCTGACAATGATAACAGTGTTTTCTCTCTACTAGGCACTTTATTCTGAAAAAGGCACAGAACACTCCAGAATAAAGTCTGAAGAAAAAGAGGTGGGACACATGTTTTATAGCCTTCAATGTGATTATTGTTTAGGTGTAGGATCAGTGGAGAAAAGGACTAGGAAAAGCATGGAAGAGGCAACATATCACACTTACTATCAAGCAGTAGACTTTGATGTCAATTAATATTTCTAGGCATTTTAGTCTGTTTTCTGTTGCAATAATGAAGTACTAGTAGCTGTAAGCTTTATAAATAAGAGCTAGCTTATTAACGATGGTTTTGAGGGTTTCAAGTCCTATATGTGGTGGCTTTCTTTATCTGTTTGGTTCTCCTGGAGAGTCTCCTGGAAAGCATTATCATGTAGAGGATAAGGGGGGTGAGCCTCATGACACACAGAAGGTGATAGACCTACAGGCTGCTTTATAAAATCGGCTCTCCCAAGACATAATGTACTCTGGGAGATTCTCATTAACCTTTTCTGAGGTCCCTGAAGTGTTTCACTACTCCTAACATCGCTAACCTTTTAGAGCATAAACTCCAGGGAGAAAGACCACGTCCAATTGCAGCATTTGGACTGAACATAAACAACAAATTCTCAGTAAGAAGAAGAGATTCTAACTTGAGCAAACAGCAGCCACTCTGAATGCTGACACTCTGAAAAGTTATAACAGCTTTGGAGTTAGAAGAATTGAGTCAAGTTGTGGCTTGGGCATGTCAGGACTATGAGACTTCGGCAAGTAATCTACCTCCTTAATCTTCTGTGATATTTCCAATAAAATCTTCTAGATCATACATTTAACTCACTTAGTACTGGTGGGAGCTGTAAGCAATATTACTGCTAACTGGATTAATATTTTGAACCCTCCTGCTAATATCTCCTTAAACACTATCAGCACAGGACCATCTGTCATCTTCTAGATCTAATGTTCTGGTATCTCTCACGTGGTCTTACCAAATACAGGGCGGAGATAAGGCCCATTAGGTCAGGGTTAGCATCAGGAGGTGATCAGAGCCCTCCCAAGGGCATGCTTGCTCTGACGGTAATCACAGCACAGTACCTCTCATAAAGTCCATACTTTGAACCTTCCAGTATCTGAGTTGTTCGATTCAAAATCACACAATGCTAGGTTCTCTGGGTGGCTCAGTTTTAGTTATAGTCTAAAGCTTCCTTCCCAGGATTTTTTAACTGAGTTAGGTCAGGGGGCTGCTCCCATGTTCATTCAACTGAGATATGCAGTGGCTTTGAAAGAACTTCCCTTTCTTAGCACAGGAGTCCTGGCAGAGAGGACTAGGCAAGGTATCTTACCTTGGGCAGATACCCTTCTCCTGGGTGGAGAGTTACCGACTGGGTGGAAGTTGACTTTCAGCTTTGGGACAGGTATAACCAGCACCCTTTCACCATGAGACAGCTTTGTTGTTACCCCAGGAGGTTTTGGCAGCTGAAGCCAGATAATCCAATCTCCTTATTAATTGATGAAGAAAGAGATAAGTAAAATCCAGTGACAGCCTTGGATTTGCTTATCATTTGATTATCATATGAATTCAGAGTATTCATAACCTTTCTGTTACAAAGTGATATTAAAATTTCAAGACTGTGTAGGAAGATAGAAGGAATAATGTAATGAGCACCTGTCCCAGTGTGAGGAAAAAAAAAAAAAAGACTTACCATTCTGTGTTGCCCTTCCCTACCTTCCCTGAACATAAACCTTTTCTTTAGAGAGTGGAGGCTCCATTCTCCTGAATTAGGAATTCATCATGGCAATGAAGTTCTTATTTTGTTACATATGGCAGCTTTTGCCATCCCTCTTTCCAGATGTTCTGTTCAGGAAGTTGTCTTCTGTGCCAATATGTTCAAGGCTCTTCCTCACTTTTTCTTCTAGCATATTTAGAATGTCTGGTTTTATGTTGAGGTCTTTGATCCACTTGGACTTTAGTTCAGGGTGAGAAATATAGATCTATTTGCATTTTCTACATATAGACATCTAGTTGGACCAGCACCATTTGTTGAAGATGATATCTTTACTCCACTGTATGGTTTTGGTTCCTTTATTGAAAACCAAGTTTCTATAGGTGTGTGGGTTTATTTCTTGGTCTTCAATTAATTTCCATCGATTCACCAGTCTGTGTCTATGTTAGTACCACATAGTTTTTACTACTGTTTTTCTATAGTACAGCTTCAGATCAGGAATGGAGATACCTCCTGACAATCTTTTGTTGTACAAGATTGTTTTAGCTATCCTGGGTTTTTTGGTTTTCCACATGAAGTTGAGAATTTTTCTTTCAAGGTCTGTAATAACAGTGTTGGTATTTTGATGGGGATTGCATTGAATCTGTAGATTGCTTTTGCTAAGATGGCCATTTTTACTATGTTGATTCTATTGATCCATGAAAATGGGAGATCTTTCCATCTTCTGATATCTTCTTCAATTTCTTTTTTCAGAGACTTGAAATTTTTTTCATGTAAGTCTTTGACTTGGTTAGGGTTACACCAAGATACTCTATGGTTTTTTTTGTGGCTATTGTGAAGGATGTTGTTTCCCTAATTTCTTTCTCAGCCCATTTGTTTTATATATATATATATATATATATATATATATATATATATATATATATATATATATATATATATATGAGCTACTGTTTTTTTTTTTTTGAGTTAATTTTGTATCCAGCCCCTTTGCTGAAGGTGTTTATCAGCTATAGGAGTTCCATAGTAGAATTTTTGCGGTCACTCATGTATACTATTATTTCATTCATGAACAGTGATAGTTTGATTCTTCCATTCCTGTTTGTATCCCCTTGATCTCTTTTAGTTGTCTTATTGCTCTATGTAGATCTTCAAGTACTGTGTTGAAGAGATACAGAAAGCGTGGGTAGCCTTATCTTGTCCCTGATTTCAGTGGAATTGAAGTTTCTCTCTATTTAATTTGATATTGGTTATAAGCTTGCTGTATATTGCCTTTACTAGGTTTAGGTATGTTCTTTGTATCCCTGATTTTTCCAAGACTTTAAACATTACTGGGTGTTGGATTTTGTCAAATGCTTTTTCAGCATCTAGGAAGATAATCATGTCAACTTTTTCTTTCAGTTTGTTATATGGTGGTAGATTACACTGATGTATTTCTGTATATTAAACCACCCCATGCATGGCTGGATGATGCCTACTTGGTTATGGTGGATGATATCTTCGATGTGTTCTTGGATTCAGTTTGAGAGTATTTTATTGAGTATTTTTGCATCAATGTTTGTACGAGAAGATTGGTCTGAAATTTTCTTTCTTTGTTGGGTCTTTGTGAGGTTTAGGTATCAAAGTGACTGTGGCCTCATAGAATGAGTTTGGTAATGTTTCTTCGTTTTTATTTTGTGGAATAATTTGAAGAGTATTGGTATTAGCTCTGTTTTGAAGATCTGGTACAATTTTCCATTGAAACCATCTATCTGCACCCCCTTTTGGTTGGGAGATTTTTGATGATTGCTTCTATTTTCTTGGGGAATATGGGGCTATTTAGTTTGATCTTGATTCAACTTTGGTAAGTGGAATATATCAAGAAAATTATCCATTTCATTTAGATTTTCAAATTTTGTGGTGTATAGGCTTTTGAAGTAAGACCTACTTACTCCTTAGATTTCCTCAGTGTCTGTTATGTCTCCCTTTTCATTTCTGATTTTGTTTATTTGGATAGCGTTTCTCTGCTGTTTAGCTAATTTGGCTAAGGGTTTGTCTATCTTTGTTTTCTTTGTTTCTAATTTATTGACTTCAGCCCTGAGTTTGATTATTTCCAACCATCTACTCCTCTTGGATGAGTCTACTTCCCCTCTCCTTCCCCCAGGGCTTTCAGGTGTGCTATTCAATTGCTTGTGTGGGATGTCTCCAGTCTCTTTATGAAGACACTTAGAGTTTTGAACTTTCCACTTAGCACTACTTTAATTGTGTCCCATAAGTTTTGGTATGTTGTGCCTTCATTTTCATTGAATTTTAGGAAGTCCTTTAACTTTTTTCTTTATTTCTTCCCTGACCCATTTGTCAATGGGTAGGAAGTTGTTCAGTTTCCATGTGTGTGTGGGCTTTTTATTATTTCTGTTGTCACTGTGGTCTGTTAGGATACAAGATATTATTGCAATCTTTTTGTTTTGAGGCTTGCTTTGTGACCTCCTATATGGTCAGTTTTTGAGAAGGTTCTGTGAGGTGCTGAGAAGAAGGTATATTCTTTTGTGTTTGGCTGAAAAATTCTTTAGACATCTGTTAGTTCCATTTGATTCATGACTTCTGTGAATGTCAGTATTTCTTGGTTTAGCTTCTGTTTCATTGATGAGAGTGGGGTGTTGAAGTCTCACACTATTAATATATGGGATCAATATATTTTTTAAGCTTTATTAATGTTTCTTTTACAAATGTGGGTGTCCTTGTATTTGGGACATAGATGTTCAAAACTGAGAAGTCATCTTGGTGAAATTTTTCATTGATGAGTGTGAAGTGTCCTTCCTCATCTCTTTTGATTAATTTTGGTTTAATATTTATTTTATTAGATATTAGAATGGCTACTCCAGTTTGCTTCTTGGGTCTGTTTGTTTGTAAAACCTTTTTCTAGCCCTTTACTCTCAGGTAATGTCTATTTTGTGGCTAAGATGTGTTTCTTGTGTGCAACAGAATGATGTTCCCGTTTATATGTCCATTATGATAGTCTGTGCCTTTTTATTGCAAAGTTGAGTCCGTTGATGTTGAGAGAGATTGATGACCAGTGACCGTTAGATACTTTGATTTTGATGTTAGTTGTGGTAATATGTTTGTGTCCTTGGCTACTTTTAGTTTTGCTGGAGTGAGGTTATTTATTTCCTGTGTTTTTCTGAAAGTAGTTAGTTTTCTTGGATTGTATTTTTCCTTCTAGTATCTTCTTTAATGCTTGATTTGTGGGCAGGTTTCTTAAAATTTGTTTTTGTCATCGAATATCTTGTTTTCTCCATCTTCAATGATTGAGAGTTTTGCTGGGTATAGAAGCCTGGGCTGACACTGGGTTCTCTTAGGGTCTGCATGATATCCATCCAGGCCCTGCTGGCTTTCATAGTCTCTGTTGAGAAGTCAGGTGTGAGTCTGATGGGTTTGCCATTATATGTTATTTGGCCTTTTTCCAGTGCAACTTCTATATTTTTTCTTTGTTTTGTATATTTAGTGTTTTGAGTATTGTGTGGCAGGAGGATTTTCTTTTTTGATCTAATTTATTAGTTGTGCGGTAAGCCTCTTCTATGCTTACAGGCATCTCTCTCTTTAAATTGGGGAAATTTTCTTCTATAATTTTGTTGAAAATATTTTCTGGGACTTGGAGGAGGGAATCTTCTTTTTCCTCTATTCCTATTAATCTTAGAACTTTACTCTATTGCTGGTGGGAATGTAAACTGGTACAACCACTTTGGAAAGCAATCTGGCACTCTCTCAGACAATTAGGAATAGCGCTTCCTCAAGATCCAGCTATACCTCTCCTAGGCATATACCCAAAATATGCTCAAGTACACAACAAGAGCATCTGCTCAACCATGTTTGTAGCAGCTTTATTTGTAATAGCCAGAACCTGGAAACAACCCAGATGTTCCTCCACTGAGGAATGTATATAGAAATTGTGGTACATTTACACAATGGAATACTACTCAGCAATCAAAAACAAGGAAATCAAGAAAAACGCAGGCAAATGGTGGGCTCTGGAAAAGATCATCCTGACTGAGGTATCCCAGAAGCAGAAAGACACACGTGTTATATACTCACTGGGCATTAGGCATATAATATAGGATAATCATACTAAAATCTGTACACCTAAAGAAGCTAATCAAGAAGGAGAACCCTGGGTAAGATGATCAATCCTCACACACAAAGGCAAATTGGATGACATCAGAAGTGGGTTCCATTTTATGGGTTGGCTCTAATTCAAATCAGATATTGGCTGGCTACTTTCCACAAGTTCTGTGCCTTCATTGTTTTAGCATGTTTTGTAAGCAGGACAGACTGTAGGTCAAAGGTTTTGGGGCTGAGTTGATATTTACATTTCTCTTTTGTTAGCCTGCAGAGTACTTTCCCAAACCAAGAACACTAGAACACAGGGGTGAAGGTTCCACATAGGTGCCAGCTAGACCTCTCCATGTCCAATGAGCCCTGCGTGTGTTGTCCTTGGTAATTGGGTCCTACTGTCAATTTTCAAAGAGCAACCCATTGCAAAGAAAGAGCGACCCATTGCTGATCTACAAAGGGCAACCCTAGAATGTTTGGAGATCCGTAGGAAACCCTCAGCTAAGAATGAACTTGAATGCAACCCAGTCCCACTACTGAAGGCCTCATGAAGTGATAAGAGATCGTCAGTCGGGATTCCGTCTTTCCCATTATTAGCACAGATCAATAGGATAATCTTCATATATTTTAGAAAGTTTCTACCACACTGGGTTGCTATACCACCCCTCAAATGCCCCTCAATTCCATTTGTCTCTCCCTGAATTCCCTCCCTCAACATCATCTCCCCATTTTCCTCCTTTTCCTGTCCTCACCCACCCTTAGTCTATCTGTAAAATCTATTTTATTTTCCCCTTTTAGGGAAATCCATGTGTTCTCCCTAGTCACTTCTTCTATATCTAACCTCCCTCAGTCTACAGATTATAGGTTGGTTATCATTTATTTAATGGCTAATATTCATGTATAAGTGAACACATGCCATATTTATCTTTCTGAATCTGGGTTGCCTCACTCAGAATAATTTTTTCTACTTCCATCTATTTCCCTACAAATTTCTTGATGTTATTATTTTAAACAGTTGAGTAATATGCTATTGAGTAAATGTACCACATTTTCTTTATCCATTTTTTTCAGTTGTGGAACATCTACGTTGTTCCCAGTTTCTATTTTTAATAAATCTGCAAAATCTGTAAGATGGGGAATTCTTTGGGTATATGCCCAGAAGTGGTATAGCTGGGTCTTGAGATATGTTCCTAAGAAATTTCTGAGGAGCTTTCATATTGATTTTCAAAGTCGTTGTACTAGTTTTTACTCCCACCAGCAAAGGGGGAGTGCCCCCTTCCTCCACATTCTCTTCAGCATGTGCTGTCACTTGTGTTTTTGACTTTAGCCATTCTGACAAGTATAAGATAGAATCTCAGAGTTGTTTTGATTCACATTTCACTTATGACTAAGGACGTTGAGCATGCCTTTAACTACTTCTCAGCCTTTAGAGATTCCTCTGTTAAGAGTTCTCTGTTTAGATCTGTACCCCATTTTTAAATTGAATTCTCTGGTTTTGTGATGTCTAGTTTCTTGAGTTCTTTATGCATTTTGGATATCAGCCTTCTGTTAGATGTGGGGTTGGTGAAGGTCATTTTCCATTCTGTAGGCTGCCACTTTGTTCTTTTAATGGTGTCCTTTTTCCTACAAAAGCTTTTCACTTTTGTGAGGTCCCATTTATTAATTGTTGCTCTTAGTGCCTGCACTATCAGTGTTCTGTTCAAGAAGTTGCCTTCTGTGCCAATGTGTTCAAAGATATTTCTCATGTTCTCTTCTATCAGGCTCAGTGTTATCTGGTTTCATGAGTTTTGCTTTGGAACTTGTTTGTTTATAATTTATAATTTTGGAACATGTTCCTATACTTCGTTGATGATCTCGGGATACAATGAAGCATTGACATAGTTGGTTTTATTATGAAGATATCTTTTTTTTACTTCTGGAATAATATCTTGAAATTTTACCAGCTCTAGGCTACTTTAATGTTATTTTGGCTGTGATTTCCTATGCTACCAAGAAAGTGTCAGCTAAAACTTCAAATCTGCTTGAAAACAGGCTTTTCTTCTTTTTCCTTATTTGAATGTCAGCTTAGTCACAAATTGCTCACTGAGAAAATTAAAGCACATTAAACTCTCTCAATTCCCAAGGGGTATGATACCCTAACTTGTTCACTGATTGTTCCAGTCAACACAAGCAGTAAAAATTGGTTGCTGGCCATTCAGAGTCTCATTACAGCAAGGGTGCAGCAAAAGGTAAATTCAGCTCTGCAGATACTGCCAGAACGGTGTGGATATACATTTTCAATTTAAATGTCTTCATATTAATTATTTGTAAAATTTACCTGTCTATCTTTTTTCTGGTGCTGTGGTAGGCAGCTGAGGCATAAGATCCAAAAAAAAAAAAAAAAAAAGAGACACGATAGAGAATTAAATAAACACATGGGTATCATATTATACAAGAAAATGGTTTTTCAGTTCTCATGAGGAGTCAGGAATAGACCACTTCAAAACTAAACTGCATTTCTCTCCTTCCTCTGTGCATTAAAACAAGCAGAGCCTACTCAACAGGAAATGAGATGATGTTTTGCTCTGTCCTAATGATGTGTTTGGGGTCACCTGGCATTGCCAAGCAATGCCCACACTATTCAGTCAGAAAGCTATGCTACTCTGTAGATGATATCCAGAAGATTTTAATATATTTCAAAAACCGAAAAACTCATTTTAGTCTGATTGTAGCTTTGATAAATGATTACTTATTCCATCAAGAATTACTTTTATTGCCACTATTTAAAATAGAAATATCCAAGTATTAGTGGAGAGGAATTATCTGGGGAATCAATGACATTTCTCAAGTGTTTAAAGTCTGTGAATAAATAAAAAATGAATCTATGAAGCATTTAGTGAGTACTTCCATTTAAGACCCACATGCAAACTGGATCAGCAAAGGCAGATCTATGCTACTAGGCTGCTGGAGAATGTTTCTTTGTGCAGCTACAATTGGTTATGGCTTGCACGTGGCTTTGTAGAAAGCCAGATGACATTTAGAGACCAAAGGACATTTCTATTCTTCCCTCAAATTTGTTCACCAGAGGAAGGGCTTTTGCCACATACTTTTGTAAAAGAGTCTAGGCTTGCTTCTGGCAAGATAACCCACTGAGTTTTTGTCTTGGTTTTGAAGACTGAGAAGACAGAAGAAATACATCATCAATTCCAAAAACTCTTGACTGAAATAAGCAAATTCCAGAATGGTTATGAACTGAATATAAACAACAGGCTGTTTGGAGAAAAAACATACCTTTTCCTTCAAGTAAGTTCTGCTGTGTGTCTGCAGCCTCTACGCATGGCAGCAACAAATGGCCACTATCCCTGTTGGAAATGAATCCATGTTGTCAAGTTGTCTGCTTGCCACGGTCCCATTTCACTAGTCTTTCTGGCCTGCTTCCCTTACTTGCAGCTCCTATGTTAGTCCTGGGAGTCTGTACTTGATTTTTGCTCTAATTGCACTGAACTCGCATGACAGTGCATGGCGGTATTAAGAACCATTTCCCCAGGACCTAAAAATTCAAGTTTTTGACATCACTTTTCCTAATGAACAGACACATTTATTAAGAGGTGTTTGTAGTTAATAAATAAATTCTTCAACCTCTTTCTATTTCTTCCCTATCTCTCCTAAAGAAATATATAGATTATGTTGAAAAATATTATCATGCATCTCTGGAGCCTGTTGACTTTATAAATGCTGCAGATGAAAGTCGAAAGAAGATTAATTCCTGGGTTGAAAGACAAACACATGGTAGAGTATGAATGGATTTTTCACCAAAAAGCACTTTTTGGTCAACAGCTGTGACCAAAGCCTTGGGCTTGACACTGCATAGATGCCAGGCAGATAAGCTTTGGGATGAGCTACAGATGAATTTGGCAGAATTGTACGGGCAGGGATGGGCATAAAGGTTGGCTAGGGTGCTGCAGAGGGCAGAACGGCCTTGGCATATATGGAGCGAGGCAACAGTGTGTAATTGTTGGCACAGGCTGTGAGTCACACTACCTCTGCAGTCCCAGGCCTGGCATCCTGCTTGTCTATCACTCACTCTCTGTGTCACAGACTTTTCTCTGAGTCTGTGGCCCTAAGTGCAAACGGCATAGTTAAGTGAGGCACATACGGCTCTTCCACCAAGACCCGTCTGCTGTCTAGGTCTGGGGTTGCCTCGGCCTCTTTCCCACTTGAGCATCTTGTAGGGATAATTAAACCTGTAGAACCTTCCCACAGTAGAAGATCTGAGGAATCTCTCCCCATCCTCTGTTATGAACTAAATGTATAAAAAATATTAGATAAATACTAAGGTGGAAATACTCTTTGGGGAGCAAGAGGTATTCCTACCTTTTTAATATTACCTCTACTAGTGAAATCTGTCATGCCAGTGAATATTTTTCTTTGTATTACCCAAAGAAGGAAAAGTTAAACAAGAGCATATTGAAAGGTTGGCTGAACAGAAAATTTCAGTATTTAGTATGGTAGGAACTGAAGAAGATTCCAAAATGCAAGTTTCTGGGGCCGAGGAGATGCCTGCACAACCAGAACACCACGGTTCCCCGAACCCTCGTGAAAGCTGAGCATAGTGGGGTGTGTCTGTGGTTAATGTTGTGGCTTGCAGGGTGGAGCAAGGTGAATACTTGAGAGCCAGCTAGCCTCCTTGAATTGGTGAGTTTCATGTTCAGGAAACATCTCTGTCAAAGTGCAGTGTGAGAGAGGAAGGCAATTAAACGTTGAACTTTGGGGTGCACGGGCAAGCACTCCCTTTCCTACATACACTTCAAAACCTGTTTCTAATAAAATAAGAAATTTCTGAACCACAGGTGTAAGGACTCTATTGAACAGATAAGAATAATAGCTAAAACTGAGTAGTTATGTGCCAGGTAGTGATTACAGGTCCAGACATACTAAATCATTTATTCATTCCAATAACCCCACGAGGCAGGTTATATTTATATTTAATAAATGTGGAAACTGAAGCACAGAGAGTGTAAATAATTTGTCTCAGTTGATAACAATTACTACTACGTGGAGACAGACAATATGGGAATCTTCCCACTAACCCTGTCAGGAAATACTTGGTGAACAGATACCTCATTGGCTTAATTAGCCAAGTCTGCTGCATCTATACCTGCCACACATTTAGTTTGTGAATTACAAGACAGACCAATCTTTTCTGTCTCTCTCTCTCTCTCTCTCTTTTTCAGAAAGAGTGAAGAACCTGTTTCCAGAAGGCTCTATTAGCAGCTCCACTAAGCTGGTGCTCATAAACACAGTTTATTTTAAAGGCCTGTGGGACAAGGCATTTAAGAAAGAAAATACCCAGGAGGAGGACTTTTGGCTGAATAAGGTAGGGTCCTTTATATACGTGCTCTGCTTACATCTGGCATACGTAAGCTTATTCGGTAATTCAGGCCTTTTCACTACTCAAAGTTTTATTCTTTCCATGGGCTACTTGGGTGCCACATTACTTGGGTCTCAATGCTTCTGTCTCTGTTTTGTTTGTTGCAGAACACAAGTAAACCTGTGCAGATGATGGCCCAGCGCAGCAAGTTCAGCTTCACCCTCTTAGAGGACCTGCAGGCCAAGATTGTGGGGATTCCGTATAAAAACAATGATCTCAGCATGTTTGTGCTTCTGCCCAATGACATAGATGGTCTGGAAAAGGTAAACCTTGGCATCTCCTGCTCTATACCATTTCCTAACACTCTGAGTGCCATCCCCTGTACCCAGGGAGCCCAGGAATAAGGATCCTTAGCAGAGTTTGGTGCCTGGCTGTGTCACTTGGGAAGTATTTCTCATTCCATGCAGTGACTACCAGCCCATCTCTATTGAAGAATAGGTTTATGGAGAGTAAATTTTGTCAAGATGAGCTAACTGAATATTTTAAGTTGAATGGTGGGGTTCTAAAGGGTCTTTAGCACTCTGAGGAGTCACTGATGTCTGTGAACTCTCTTGCCTGGGAAAAGCATGTATGCATACTTACAGATTTTACATGCAATTCAGCAAGCCCTTGGATTTTAATTTTTTTCTTTTGATCCTTATTCTTTTTTCATATATATATACATACATACATACATACACACACACAAACATACATATCCTTAAAAACACTTTATAGGAAACAATAGTTCATTCCAAATCTACTGCATTAATTAGTGTCACACATAAAGTGATGGTTTATTAATTCATATACTTGTGTTATAAATTCTCCCTGGTCAAAAGCAGAGAATAAAGTTAATTTATTTTATTGTATTACCACATTTTTAAAACGTAATTTTACTATTGTAACTAATAAATCCATTCAGAGATTTAGCATTTTGAAGGAATAAAAAAATGAATATTACAAAAATAGTTTTATACTCCCTGTTTACTTACCCCAGTGTAACTAGAGACAGAGACGTAGCTACAGGTGCATATAATGCATTGCTGGGTGGGACAGACAGAAGAGCTGTAAGGAAGTGAGACTGACTCGACCTTTAGTAGTACTTCTTATTTACTCATAGTGACATCTGAATTCATGTTCTGTAACCTAGGCTGAAAAAAATTACAGTGCAGTAGAGGGTAGAGGTAATTGATCCTTATTCTTGGTTTAGGTGCAACCACTTTCTAGTGTTTCGTATTCTGGACACCAGGAAGATGTAGCTTCAAATACTTTTTTTTTTTATTTAGGGTTTCTCTGTGTATCCTTTGCTATCCTGGAACTTGCTCTGTAGCACAGGCTGGCCTCAAACTCACAGAGAACCACCTGCCTCTGCCTCCTGAGTGCTAGGATTAAAGGCGTGCACTACCGGCTTCAAATAATGATTCTTCAAGTAATTGTCCAGCCATAAATCTTTCCAACTCCCTTGTTTCTTAGTATTCTCATCTATTAAATTGTCCCCTGTTGGGCTTAATATATGACTTCTTTTGTGACTAGGGAAGTGCAGCCTAGACTGTGTGGAGGGCACAGAAAGCACTCAGTAAATTTAATCTGTGCTATGGAATTTTGCTTAGTAGCTTTATAAGCTGGATAATATCTTGGAACAGCATGAAAAATGCATTGGAGCTTTATACACACACAGACACAGACATACGTGCACACACGGATACAGACACAGAGACACACACAGACATACAAAAGCCTCTTTCTTGGGTATCATTCTAACGTAGCAATTCAGAAGGCAAAGACTGGCTCTGTTAGTCAAATTAGCAGTTTCAATGTGAACATTGAGTACAGTAGGATGCCTATCTTGAAATTCCATCTGCAGAACTTATCAGCATATTTTATAGTGTTTCATACATATTGGATGTCTGTAAGGGGGGGTAGATAATGTAGATTGTGGTCTAACACTTATCAGCTTGATAGAAGTATTACCTAACTTTATCAGCTTATGCGAAACATACAGTGTAAAACGTTAAATACATATATGGTGGCTATCCACTGAGTACATATATTAATATAATGTAGAAACTAGAGGAAAGCGGACATTGAAACGAAGAACGTGAAACGTCTTGTTGTTAGTCTGAAAAACATACGTTGTCTTATATAGAGATAATATAATACATGAAAATATACTAGAGACTATAAGACAACAGTCTTTTGTGTAGACAACAGACTGAAATGGAAATTGTACATTTGTTAGTAAAAGTAACGCTTTCTGGCTGGCTGAGGCCAGTGTGAGGCTTTTAAAATGTTGGTGGATTTCCCTTTCCAACTGCAGATAATCGATAAAATATCTCCTGAGAAGTTGGTCGAGTGGACCAACCCTGGACACCTGGAGCGAAGGAGGGTGGACCTGCGCCTGCCCCGCTTCCAAGTGGAGGAGAGCTATGACCTGGAACACATCCTGGGGTCTATGGGCCTGAGCAGGGCCTTCAGCGAGCGCGCAGATTACTCGGGAATGGCTGCCCGCTCTGGGCTGCACGCCCAGAACTTCCTGCACAGATCCTTCATGGTGGTGACCGAGGAAGGCGTAGAGGCCACTGCAGGAACCGGTGTGAGCTTGAAGGTCTCATCAGCTGCAGCCTGCGAACTTGTGCACTGTAACCATCCGTTCTTGTTCTTCATCAGGCATAGCGAGTCCGACAGCATCCTTTTTTTCGGCAGGTTTTCTTCTCCCTGAGATGGTCAAGCTGGAATATGGCTACACTTAGAGCATCAGCTTGTGATTCAAATAGCACAGGATTCATATACACACTTTAAAGTTCATTGCTTGCATTCAGTGGTAAATCAAGACGCAACGGTAGCAACAACACATTTTCATAATTTGGTTGAAAGTGAGCCCTGATGGTGTGTGAGCCACGCAGGAGGCCAGTCAGCTTAAGCTCAGCTCTCACCTTGGTTTCCTTCGGAAGCCCATCTCTACTAAGAACGTTTTTGTACACTGGAGCAGGGTGGGGTGGGGTGGGGGGGCTGCTTTTTTTTTTGATAGAGTATGTACTCTATAGAGGACTTTAGGGTTCATCCAGTTCAAGTATCTTGGCATATTATGACACACAAGTAAAATAAAACAATAATTCATTCGCTAATGTCTTTCTTTTTTCCTGTCCGAGAGATATAATGGGGAAAGAGAATATAGAAACACGTCAGTATATAAGTCAAATGCCACAACAAGTTAAACAACAGTATGCCAGACAGAGATTTTCTTGTTTTCATCCTTCATTCTGATAGTATGCCCCTCTTACCCCCACCTCACCACTGTTTCAGAAGCACTCTGGTATTAGGATAATTGCCAATGTAGAGGTACCTGATTAATTCTGCTACCCTGTCATTCTTTGAGGCCTTGGAAAGTAAATATCTGGACAGTTCTTTAGAAGGGTGCTTCTTTCCTTTCTTTTCTGTTTTTAAAGTTTGTTTTGGGTTATTGAATGAAGGATGGCCACTGACAGATGACATTTCCTTTTTAATTGTTTCTTTCATATTTGAAATAATAATATAGCTGCAATATTTCTCCCTCCTGCTAACCAGCATTCCTTACTTGACTAATTCTTTTGCGTTGAGGCCTTGCCGGCTTCCTCAGTCCACTTTGGCAGGTTTATTGGTTACCGGATGCCATTTTCTTAAAGCTGCCTTTGGAAAGCTCTATGTATTTTGCTGACACCACATTTCAGACATCCTTCAGGCTTTAGTTTTGTCAGTTTTTAGTAAGATTACATTAATGATTTATTTTAAACATTTTTTTTTTCTTGAGCTATCATTACACAAGTTGCAAAAGCATTGATTTTTTTTTTTATTGGTGAGTTTTTTGAGTTGCTCATCCACCATCACAAACCAGTTCTCGTTATATATACAAAGCATCTATATAGCTGCCCTCACCTCCAGCCAGAGGCAACCACTCTCTGCTCCGGCTTTGTCGTCTGTTTCCTGTGCCTCGTATAAGCAGACTCACAACAGACAGTGTTTTGCGTCTGGCTTCGTTCATCTAGTAGAATGTTCTTACAGTTCATACTTTTGTCGCATGTATTGATCATGAGCTTCCCTCTAATGCTGCACAGCATTTTCATTTTTATGGAACAGATTCACTTTATTTCTCCATTTGCCAGCTTCCACCTTTCCGCTGTTACAAATATTACCGCTATGAGCATTCACACATGTTTTTACTTCTCTTGAGTAGATTCTTAGAGTAGAGTTGTTGGGTTACACCCTTTGGCCTTTGAAGAAAGCATCAAACTAGTCTTCAGTGTCAGTATCACTTCGCATTCCCGCCACTCGCGTGTAAAGGTCCCAGTGTCTTCACATGCTTGCCGGCATCAGGACTATGTTTTGGTAGTTGGGCTCTTTCTTTTTGGTGTGAAATATTCCATAGTCATTTTCCCTTGTGTTTTCAAATGGTTAATTAAGGTGACATTTTTTTCCCATTTGGTTATTTGCATTACTTCTTTGATGAAATGTATAAGAAATCATTTGGTCATTTTAAAATGGGGGTAGCTTACCTTCTTGTCTTGTTATAGAGTCAAAAAACTCATACTCTGAATGTCCTTTATCAAATATGTAATAGAGATCACCAAATCCTATGTTTTTTTTTTCTTTTTTTTTTAGTTTTCTTATTGATGTCCTTTAAAATATGTACTGGTTTAAAACATATAATTTGTGGTGGTGGTGCATGCCTTTAATCCCAGCATTCAGGAGGCAGTGGCAGTTGGATCTCTTTGAGTTAGAGGTCATTTTGGTCTACAAATCAAGTTCCAGGACAGCCAAGGCTACACAGAGAAACCCTGAATGAAAAAAAAAACTTAAAAAAGATAATTTAATATAAAATTATGTAGATATATTAATTAGTTTTAAATAATTTTTACTATCTCAGAATCCCCCCAAACACACAAATAGCCATGTCCCATTACTTTGTTCATTAACTAATGGAAGCCATTACTCTGTGTCAAGTTTATGGATTTGTCTGTTTTGAATGCATAACATAACAGAAGTAACACAGTAACAGAAGCAACGCAATTTGTTTTTACTTGCTACAATGACTTCAGATTCATCTAAGTCATTGCACATGGCAGTGCTCAGTTCTTTATTATGTTTAACATCTTATGTACAACTGTATCAGATTTTGTTTAGTCATTAATCAGTTGATAACCTCTTACCTTTGAATTCTTAGCCACTATGAATAACTTTGTGTGTGAATTTCTGTTTTTCATCGACATATATACTCATTTCTCTTGGACTATACTAGGTCATATGTGATCTTTATGTTCACTATTTTGAGGAAATGGTGAATTGCCCTACTTTCAATTCTGCAGTAAATGATAATAGGTTTTTATCTGGGTATGGTGGTGCACACCTTTAATCTTAGCATTGGCAGAGGCAATGTGGACCTCTGAGAGAGGCAGAGGCAGAGGCAGAGGCAGAGGCAGAGGCAGAGCCAGGTGGACCTCTGAGAAAGGGATGCCTGCCTGATCTACAAGCAAGTTCCAGGCCAGTGGGGTGCAATCTACAAAACCCAAAACAAAAAGATTTAGGTTCTCTACATCTTTGTCATTATTTATTATAATCTTTAAATTTTAACATGTCTATTCTAGAAAGTGACATTGTATTTCATTGTAGTTTCTTTTCCCTTTACCCTTCCTTCCTTCCTTCCTTCCTTCCTTCCTTCCTTCCTTCCTTCCTTCCTTCCTTC